GATGAACGTTTCGTCCTGGTATGGGACTCCTCAACAGTGTGTGTCTGCTAACCCGCCCCGTGAGTTTCAAACTCAGGACCTATCAGGCTCGTGCGCGAACGCTTCACCTCCAGACCACTTAGCTGACATCCAACGGTGTGAATGTCTACCATCAAACAATCCACGAAATTGAGCCACCGTTCACCATTGTTTTTAATGAGTTGCTGTCTCATAACAAACTCGGTTAAACTCCACTGGTCACTGTTTCTCACTAGAACTCTAGGAAATACCTCTTGAAGCGAGGCGAGATCGTGAATGCGCACTACTGAGGAGTCCTACAACAGCCGTCCAGTGCTTTCAGATTTTTCATGATAGTCTAGCTTTAATTGATTCATGAATTCAACTATTAAAATTACTATAATATCCACGATAACCCCTTCTAATATGAATTTCTTTGTTCTATTCTATTTGTTTATTTATTATAATCCACTTAATCACTTACATTTAGACATAGAAATAGATTTAAATTATATTTTAATTGTTTCATTTAAAATAATTCAGTTTTATTCGAAAGTGGAGACAGATATTTCAATGTTTCAATGACTTCATACATTTCACTTTCTGTATCTAATGCCTTTTCTATTGTATGTATTTGTGTATATAATTAGTTACGATGAAATTGTGTTGTGTTTTTTTTTCAAAAACAATGTTATTTATGTATACAAATCAACCAACAAAGAAAGAGTTGATTATCTTAATTGATGTTAGATACTGTAGAAACTAGACCAATAATAAACATCATTAGTTTAATTGACATAACATTGAGTATTTAAAGGTGAAATGTTTTCCATAACTTGAAAACCAACAAAAAAAAATATTGTGGTTTTTTCAAAGATCGATTCAATTATCAGGTTGATGAAGAAAGAAATGAATCATGAATATTTCTATGTGTGTTAATTTCATTGAAACGATTAAATCTTGCGGTAAGTGGTGATGAGTTGGGCAAGATTTAATATACGATAGAATCAATGTCAAAGTAACGAGCGCAAGGTCATGGTAAACTTCTGATCTGTGGATGATTACTATAGTCAAACTGATATGTAATTTGAATGAAAAATTTATTACATACTACCTACAAGTAATTGGTTTTCTGTTAATTACATATGAAGTTCTATTGTGATGTCCAAAATCATAATGATAGAAATGGTTAAAGACATTTTGTGCTTTCCTGCGTCTCCTCAATAATTGTCAATCAATTCATAACGTAAACTGTCGGCGTACTTTGTCAATCTTTTCAAAATATCTAAGTGAATAGTAATTTTATGGCTTACACTAGGGCTGAACTTAGATAACATTCGAAACCCAGAGAACAGTAAACAGACGTTTCTTCCTAGCATACGGCTTTCTAGCAGTATCCACCTTAATCCCGCTGATGATTGAAACCTAAACCCACAGATCCTTATTTTGAAATTTATGTTTGGGTTATTTTGAAGATCTTTTATGTATCTTGCAGTCTATTAAATTGGGATAATAACTTATGTTGTTTATTTACTTGATATTTTAGAGATTTTACGACCAAAAAACTAATGGAAAATATGGCTTCCTGAAAATGCTATCTTTGCTACAAAACACCAAGGTCTGAGGTTTGATATCAAGAGATGTTATGATTAAACACTGTTAAGAAGTTTCAATCTAGGATGAAACAGTTTTTCAATGCTGTTCGATCCACAACAGTTCCCTAAATATTTCTTAATCCAGTATAGTGAACCCGTAAGACAACAAAGACCTTGACTTTGACATTAATAATCTAATCCCACCTATTAACCAATGACCAAACAAAATACCGAGACCAGGAATCTGTTACTATAAAACTAATGGAAGCTAAATATTCGTCATAGTTTTAAGTGACTGAAGAACTGTGTCCAAAGGTTCATGATCAGTTTTCCCTATCTTAAACCAGACCTAATTCCCGTGATAGTGACTAATTCATTTCACGTAAACCTATTTTATTGGTAAATTTCCTATCATTCAAACTCTTGTAAATAATTTCTCATTATTTCCTCAATCTCTGTATGAAGACTCGTCGTAATGTCGATGGAAGGATTTTATGAAGTCACAATCCGAGAATCATAAAAATGAAAATGTTTAGTTATTTTTAATCATTCATATCACACAAAAATAATTGTTATTCAGTCTATCAATGATCACACAAAGAAAAACGGAACAAATTCATAAGAAAATATGCTTCTAATTGAATCGATACTAGAAAGAGTCAGTATTCTGTGTAATTTTGATTTCATAACTCATGTAAGATCACATAAAAGTCTCTTACAATAACTCACAACAAAGCGAGCACTAAATAAAACCACTTTCCTCAGAGTTCGTAAGAAGGTGATTATTAACTACTAATGTTACCTTTCGTCAAATTGTAAAAAAAATATCCCCTGTAAATGTTAGCAATCAATCAGATTCATGCATTAATAATGGGAATTACCATTTTTGTCTCCCATCTTTGTAAGCTATATTACATAGTATTGTTCCCTCTCTGTTTCTTTACTGTTTAATTTGTGATGTTGCTACAATTGTTTCCATATTATTATGAAATAGTTGTGTTGTGCAATAGTTTTCATGTTGGTAGTGTATTTTCGTAAATTAAGCACATTATTTTATAGTTTATTGGAGGAGCTTACAAGAATTTTTCGTTCTAACAAGAATCTGACCTAATTCATTGATGTTACTCTTTAATCAACTGTAATCGATCTGAAGTATTTGCGATGTCATACGTTTTCTGGTGGTAATATTTTTTCCATATTTTCATTTTTATTTGACATTTCGAATAGTGAAAAAACAAACTCATCATAGAGATGATGGTCTGAATTGAAAAAATGCCGATAAAAAAAATATTTAGTACACTTCATTCAACTAATACATTAACATAAATTGTCGGATACGATACACGTTGTTTACATACCAACAGAATCAGACAACTTCGGTGATGTCAGATGGTAACAGTTTGTTTTTTTCAATTTTGCGTTAAAAGCTAAGAGTCGCTGTCTTGAATCCGATTCACCTTTCTTTTTATATTGAAGATTCATTGTTAGTATTCATTTATCATTCATTTTGTATTGTTTGCTTAAAACTTTCCATTGATGCTTAGGACTGAAATTGATAAATTTCTTATTGACATATGTGCATCCTATTCAGATTAGATGGTGGTTGAAGGTAGTCGACAGGAAACCCTGGACCCGGGTTTCGTGCTACTTGAGACTCGTCAGCAAGGTGTACCGGTAATCTTGAGGGAACTGGTGCTCCCTGGCGGATTAGATTCCGTGCGCCCAGCTTCACAGCCACAGCCGTTACCACTGAGCTACCCGGGTCCATAGTTTCCTGTCGACTACCTCCAACCACCATCTAATCTCAATATATATTGCGCGCAGTGTCGAGTCACCTAGACTGGTGGTCACATTGCAACATGGTCGATAGCATTCGATCTGCACTAAATAAGGACTTGACACACATGAAATTGATCACCACCCAGTGATCAATCAATTGTGAGTGCATCCTATTCAGATTGTCTCGATATTGCCTTAAGTCACATACATCTAGTTGACGAGTCCCAAATAGGACGAAACGCGCGTCTTAGATCTCACTGGTAGCCACCATCCATCTTTGTTTATCAATTGATAACATATAAAAAGAAGGAACTATCGAGAAGATAACTTAATTTATCGATACATAAAAATTAACGTATACATATGATAAACCTTTTGGCATTGGAGTTTGTCTTGTTCATTTTAACTAAAACATTTGTCATCAATTCAATTACAATGTAGTTATGAATATTTCGAAAATAAATATACAGACTAACTTCATCAACCGATGAAACTTCAATCCTATTGACCTTCATTCTATCTTGTTAATTGAATCTGTACTACTCTCTTATTACATTCGGATAAAACTTTATCTTTCAAATGTGTTCTATTTGAACAAGATTAATTTATTATCTTTATTTTCAATGTTGACTTTTTTTGTATCTATGCACATTAACTGACAAACATTTCATAAACATAAAAAATAAAGAGAAGCACACTAATGAGAAAAATAAATGTATGTATATATATATATATATGATATTCATTGATCGTCTTAAAAGTGATTGGTTAATATATATGTAGACTATTTCCAATTCTGACCAATCAAATTGTTAATCATATTTGTAAAAGTAGCCATTTTTCACCTTCCTACAAAAACCATTAAATCTGTGTGGTTAAAGATAGTAATGACGGTGGTGGTGGTGGTGGTGGTGGTAGTAGTAGTAGTAGTCGTATTAGTAGTAATGACAATCAGGTTAGTATGATGTTTACTTCGTTTTACATACACACACACACATTCCGTAATGTTTTAAAATTGACCAGAAAAATCTATTTGGTAATTTAAATAGATGCTTGAAAGGAAATACGTTTTCTGTTTGTTTTAATTATCACATAACAAGAGAAAAAGAAAGGTGATAAACTATATGATAAAGAGAAATATATATATATATATGTAAACATAATCGGGATATTCTATTCATTCAATATAGTTTTATACAAGTGTTTAATTATTAGATATCCCTAGAAACAATATACATATATTTAACTAATAATCAGCTGTTCTCTGTTTATCGAAATCATATACAAATGAGAATTGAATACATTGTCATGATCCACTACATTTACCTTTCATACATTTCATTTCTGTGACATTCTATCAGAACATTTTTTTTTCTGTTTTCGCTTAATACGGAAAGAAAACTCTTGATATGGACAAATTAAAATAAAAACAAGAATCAATCAATTCTTGGATATATCTTATTGAATTCATTGGAGTAATAACATATATTACTAAGTAAAGTATTTCTGGAAGATAACAAAATGACAACGTTTCAATTATATACATTATTATTTGTTTTATTCTATTGTAATGAACCATTCATTGGACCAAATTATTATTTCATTACACAAGTGATTGCTATCACTGATATGAAATCAAAGTATACAGATAAATCATTCAATTTACACACATCAAATGTACAATCAGATAATACTGTTAATGATGATCCTAGTTATAATAATAATAATAATAATAATAACATACAAACAATGTCAAAATCATCATTTAAAAATAAATCACATTCACCATTGTCAACATCAACAAATTTCTTATATAACATATCGAATCCCGTTGAACGTAATTTTAAATTAACTAATCAAGTTGGTGGATTAGGTTTAGTATCATCAGTACAAAATCGTATTAGTCTTGATACATTATCACATACAACAAATTCTCCATTGAATATAATCAAGCATAATTCACCAGTTTTAAGTAATTCATTAATCTCTTCAATAGATGATATGAAACAATATAAAAATAATCAACCAATAACTGATTGGCCAACATCATCAGCATCAGAAGAATATAGTAAAATTAATATGCGTATTATGGGTCAACCAATTGATCCAAGTGTTGTTAATCATTTACATCCAGATGTATCACCACATAAAATAAAAAAATTACGTAAAATTTTATCTGGTAGTTTAGATAAAGAATGGACATCTGAAACACCACCAAGAGTATTAAGACAACGTGGAATATCTGGTTCATTTAATACAAATAATCAAGAAAGTTATACATCACTTGATGCTAAATTATTAAAAGAGATTAGAGAATTGAATTTTACATTTCGTAATTCATATGGTGTATATTTTACTTTAACTGATGAACAAATTCAACCATATCGTTATTGGTTAATTGAACGTGCTACATGTGAAATGGATTTTATATGGGAAGATTTAGGACCATTATTTTGGCCACGTTGGATACGTAGAGGTGTATGTTTAAATCGTCCTGGACATTCATGTTCATGGCCATCTGGTATGAAATGTCGACCATCTGGTTCACGTGCATTACAATTATTACATTGGAAATGTGAAGATGCTGCACAAGTACAAACTAGAGAACATGCTGCTGATCAACGTATACGTCGTCGTGTATCAATGAATACATTTCATTCAGGTTTTTATGAAATGGAACCTGTTACAGATATTATTAAATCGAAACATAAACGTGATACTTATGCACGTTTAAGTTTGAAAGATAATTCATTACAACATATTAATTCATATCGTAAATTACAAGCACGTAATCTAGGTAATTCACATTATGATACTAAAACATCATGGACAAATATAAAATCATCTGAACCATCAATATTATCATCATCATCTTCATCATCAATATCATCTTCATCATCCTCTTTACATTTAGATACCAATTCAAAAGATGAAAAACGTCGACGTCGTGCTAGACGTCTAATTAAACGTCTCAGTGTAACAGCTAATGGATATCATTGTTATTGGCAAGTACAAAAATATTTAATTAGTGATCGTTGTTCATGTTCATGTTCATAATTTAATTTTAAAATTTAAAAAAAAAAACTTTTTTTTTCTGTTTTAATTTCAAGAATTTAACATATTTCTATTTATTCCATTTGTTTTCTTATATAGTTGTTTACAATTTCAATATTCATTCCTATCACTAATTGAAAATCGATAATTTAGTTGTTGTCATGGTTGTTCTTGTTGTTATTTAATGAAAACGATGTATGTGGGGCATTTTTCAAAAAAAAAAACACAAAAAAAAACTTTTTTATTAACTACATAGGTGAATGTAATTTAATAATCGTTTTTTCTCTTTTTTTAAAAATTATATGTCACTTTTAATTCTTCTCTATTCATACACTTCATTTCTTGTCACAATTATTGTTACCATTATTATTATTATTATTATTATTATTATTATTATTATTAAAACTTCTCTTATAAACGGTATTCTCTACCTCATATACATAAGTATAATTTAAACAATAAAAATTCATAACTGATTATTATTATTTGTAGTTAATGAAGATTTTTTAAAAAAAAATGTTCCGCCAAATTTTTATGTATTGAACATTGAACATTTTTAAAGAAGACGCCATTGAGTTTTTGTACGACATAACCATATACATATATATATATATATATATATATATATATATATATATATACTTATGCTTGCAGTTCATATATACATATACATATATCTATATAGGTATTGTTCGTTTGTTTTACTTTTTGAACAAATAAATGAACAATCAGAAATGTATTATTTAAAAGTAATCAACGACGACAACAACAAAAAAACCCAACTTATTACTCAATCATTTACTCTTTTTCATGTTTTTTTGTTTCTAAGTGAAAAATCAAAAAAAAAAATAATAAAACTAGTCATGGTGATTAATGGAGAAGAAGAGAAATAAAAGGTTGACATGTGAATTTAAACTATGAAAATATTACAATCTGTATAAATTCTCATACTGAAAAGTAAAAAAGTAATCCGATTAATGTCTTTGAAATACTGAATAGTGAATCTCACGAGGTGAAATCATGAATGCACACTGTTGAGTAGTCCTATCCTAGGACGAAACAGTTGTCCAATGCTTTAAGTTCTCCATGATAGTGTAGCTTCAAGTAACTCATGAATTCAGTTATTAAATTATTCATTATAGGTGTTATTATAGTGATATATGAACAGTACAGTTTGTGTAATTTAATTTGGAAGATTAAATAGTTATTTTAATGCCATATTAATACTGCATCGCTTGTTTATGTGACATTCTACCATTACAATTTACACTTGAAAAGAATAATAATTATGTATAAATAGAAATATGATCACATTCATTACTCACCATTTGATGTTTTTTCATATCTGTAAATTATATAAGTAGATAGTTAAATTGGTTTCTATAATGTAAACATCATGTTTTTAATCAAAGGTAGACCTTAGAATGAGTACTTTATTCCATTTACTACTTGTCAAATGGATATACTTTCATTCTAATATTGATTTCTACACTTGGACTTAAATCCTGCACTTGTCATCTCAAACGCTGACATGTTATTCACCCCTGTACTTATGAATGAAAATCTTCTTGGCTATGAAAAAAGGAAGAAACTTTTAGTAAATTTCATGTTAAATAAACTTGTCACTTCCTTTTCTTTTTATTAAAGGGATAATTAGTCAATTTATATGATTTTCATTCAAACATCCTTTAAGTTAAAGCGAAAATTCTGTATTTCATTTTGTTTCATTATCTAATAATGAGTTGTGTTTTAGTTGGAACAATATCTACCATCGTCTTTTTCCTCCTCTTCTTCAATTGTTTGTTGTTACCCATATAAGTGAGTGTATGCCAGAATTTTCTAATGACGTTTACCATATTACTTATCAGAAGGGGTTTGTGGAGATTTTAAAAATTTCACAGGTTGAAATCATGAGTCAATTGAAGCTAGACCACCATGGAAAACCTGGAAGCACTGGACGGCCGTTTCGTTCTGGTATGGGACTCAGCAGTGCGCATCTACAATCCCGCCGCGCGAAATTCGAACCCAGGACCTATCAGTCTCGTGCCAAGCGCTTAACCAACCAGACCACTGAGCTGGTCGGCATCCAATGGTGTTAATGTCTAACTTCAACCGTCCAGTGCTTCCAGATTTTCCATGGTGTTCTAGCTTCAATTGGCTCATGATTTCAATCTGTATATTACTTATATTAATGTTAACATTTGTATATATTTATATCTTATCAATAATTAATCTTGACGCTACATTTAAACAAATTTTATATGGTTAATACAATAAATGTCAACTTCACTATTATTATTTTCTGCTTTAAAAGTTCTATACAACACAATTCAACTTGATTTACAAATCCAATTGGAGTAAGATGTATCCTCGTTCAAAAAAAGTTCACGGACTAATGACTTTATGTTTAATATGGTAGTAATTTATTTGAATAGTACTATTTATTTAGGCGCCAATTTCAAATCATCGGTTTACTTAGATTGAATATGTTTTACAAATGTCATTATAATAGCTTTCCCATTGACTATTATTTTTAGACGTTGAGACAGGATAGAAAAAAGTGTAAACAATATAATTTATGACATGTCACCGTAGAATGAAATATTGCTGAATCGGACTAATATCTGTTTATCTACCTTAAGTTTGTGAATTGTGTACGGAAGGTTGTGTGATACATTGGTCTGAAACGTTATTAATTATGCCTTTAAAAAAACAGAAAACAGTAGCAGTCCTGCCGTAAATATTTATGTTATGTTTTTATTAGGTCAATGAAATCTAAGTTCATTGTTTTCTATTGAAATCACGAACCGATTGATGTTAGACCATCATTGAAAACCTGGAAGCACTGGTCAGCCGTTTCTTTCTATTGTGAAACTCCTCAGCAGTGTGCATTCACAATCCTGCCGTGCGAGATTCGAAACCAAGACCTTCGGACTAGCGCGCGAACCGGCATCCAACAGTGTTAATGTTGATTTTTACTCTGGGATTCAGTAGCTAGGTGGATAACGTGATAGTGTCTAAAGTGAACGGTACTGGGTTCGAGTCACAGAGTGAACATAAACTCGGAGATGAAAGTACATCCAGCTGAAGAGTCCCAAACAGGACGAGACTCACATCCTGAATCCCACGGCTAGCCACAATCCATCTTTGATTTAGTAAGAAAACTAAAATTTCGGTTGGTCATTTTAATCAATGTATGATTTCATCTATTTTTATCCCCGACGTGGTTATGAGTGTTTCATAAATATGTACTGATGAAGAGCCCTAAAACAGGGCGAAATAATCTTTCAGTATTTTCAGGGGTCTTCTGACTGGTATCAGTTTTAGTGATAGGTGCCTTCAAACAATCCATAAAGCTATCTATCATCAATAATAATCTAATAAAATTTATTACAAATTTCCAATTTCGTATATTTCACTAAAAGTCATTACAGGCCAAATATATGCAAGCCGAGTACCGAGTAGTTTAGCCAAACGTGTAATTTATGCTCAAATCACTTTTTATAATGATGAGAAATAAGAATTCCCCAAGTATGTCAGGACTCATCCTATTACTACTAGTTTAAACTCTAGGACCTTGCCATCATCATCATTTGTTCTCTGCGACAATGATTTTCTCTCTTTTGAAATTGCCTTGACAATACTAAAACTAATGATTACATCTCATAACACAAATGAAACTATAGGGACATTAAATGTCTGATCATTGTTTCCACTGAGCATACTCACTAACCTTATATTAATTTAAGTATTTCGTATTTGTACTGTCCTTGGTTATTTAGATTAATTTAGATGATATTTATCTAAATCAATAGTATATTAAGCGACCTAGCACATGAATAACAGTAAATCCATCACAAGAATTTTCGTTGTTGTTGTTGTTCAGTGCTTTGTTTTTAACCTCTAGTTGCAGAGGACTACAATTACATGGTAGTAGTGCTAAAAAGGATCCCAGATACACTGTTCATACTTTACCAAGATGTTCTTCACATCTAATGTTTTCTGTATCAATCTGATAATCCCTGTAAATTGGCATTCATTCTCAAATTATTTCCAGAATGTAATTTACCTATTTAAGTCAATACTGTTGTAGGATTACTATTATTATTATTATTATTTTTATGAACAATTGTTCAAAGCCAGTAAATCGACACTTAAATTAGCATTAACAACCTTCTATTCTTTATGTTAGTTATTAATAAAACACGTCAGTTTGTAGTGAACGAGAACACCAGTGGGGACAACCAAATGACCTTATGCTCGAAATAACACAATCAATTACTAAAATCTGAGAACCATACAGTAAATACTTCAATTGCAAAATGTCAGTTAATTGTCTCAAACTTGATTGTTTATTCATTTTCATACCAATCACTCTCTGCTCTCGTTCTCTTCTCTTCGATCTTCTTAACTTTCTGCCTCCAGGCATTCTATATTCGATTAGTGATACAAACTACTTGTGTCTGTCAACATCAGTAGTACTTACTACAGTTATATAATAAAAATTATTTCAATTTAGATTGTGAATAGAAAACTACTCAAATTGTTATACTGTTTCTATATTTATTATTCTTAAGTTTTCAGTAAAAATGATCTTATCAATATATTGGATAGTTTAATTTACAATCGAATCATTTAACTGGACAAATTTGTGTCGGCTTATCAAATTTTCTAAAGTTTCAGAAGGGATTTATGTTGTCAATCGTATTAGAAATGAGATAGTCGCTTATCGACAACATCCGATTATGGTAGCGCTCAGTTTTTAATTCACTTAAGTTAGAAATATAAACTCTTGATATGAAGATATCATGCTTAGTGCGGTATATGAGGATACTAATTTCAATCCCACTGGCTTCATTTACTAAGAAGTCCTCGATTAGGTTGACACAGCTATTCAAAGTTTTGTTGCTCTCAACGTCTCTTCAACTGATAATAGTTCATGTATAAGTTTGTCTTGAAATTTAAAATTATAAGATTTTGATTATGAACTTACCTTAGATAAA